CTCTCTCTCTTTCTCTCTCTCCTGCTGCCTCGTGAAGAAGGTCATCTGCTTCCCCTTCACCTTCTGCCATAATGTTAACTTTCCTGAGGCCTCCCCATTCATGCAGAACTGAGAGTCAATTAAACCTCTTTCCTTTATAAATTACCCACTCTCAGGTATTTCTTTATAACAATGTGAAAACAGACTAATACAGTACCTATCATTATTGACTTCTCAACTTCTATCATTATCAAAAAGCAAATAATTGATTCATTTTTTAAAATAAACAAGATTTTAACTCTTAAAATGTATAAGCAAATACATTTCCTCCATAACAGAATACTAATAGTTGCATACTTAGGTCAAAAATAAGTTTTTATAAGCAATGCTCAAAAACCTCAATGGATCAAATATGTTATAAAAATTCAGCAAATTGATAAACCTTGCTATTTGACAATGAAAACAAATTTTAACTTTTTTAAACTGTGATAAGCAAACTCATTAGTTTGAAAATTAGAAATTAATATATTACATTGATTTATGTCATCTTTAAAGTCACTTTAACTCACTCTCAGTAGCACAGTGTTTTAAGTCAGAAAGCAGTGAAATAAAATTGTCGATTCACTCTTATTTTTCTATTCTCACTGAATTTTTTAAATTTTTTATTATATATTCAGCAGCATTAGAATAAGCAAAGCCAAAGGCATTTTATGGGACTCAAAAGACACAATGACCTCTGTAGACACTAGTTAAACAATACACAGAACAATTTGATTCCTACTTCGATGCTAAGTTTAGCAACCATTCACACAGATAATGTCCACGTTTTTCTTTCTTTTCATTTCACCAAGACCTTCATTCCTCAAAGCCTAAAATATATCTAAATCTTGGATTTCTCTTTTTTGCTTCATCTGACAACTTGAACATTGACTGTTGGACACACAGCCATCAAGTGATAAAATGGGTAACTGGAAAAGTTCTAACTTGTTTTGTATTTTTCAAACCCTATTAAAATAAGAGCAAATAATAATACTAGCTCATATTTATTCAATGCTGGTTCTAGTTCAAGCACTCACAGCAACCCTGTGATACAGACTACTAATAAACTTAGTTTGCAAATAAAAACACTCAAGTTTAGGAAAAACATGTGACATATGCAAGGTCTCACAACAGGTAACTTACAAAGCTGGGATTCAAATCCCAGATTGACTAAAACCATGCCATACATCTTTATTATATAATCTCTTCCATAGAAGAAAATGAGCCATTAGTTGCTGTTCCATTTCACAACATAGCTTCCCTGAACATACTGGTGGAAAAACAAACAAACAAACAAACAAACAGAAATTGGCTATGTTCATTCATTTATCAACTTTTTTTTAATAAATTTTTTTTTAAGACAGAGTCTCACTCTGTTGTCCAGGATGGAGTACAGTGGCACAATCTCAGCTCACTGCAACCACCACCTCCCAGGCTCAAGTGATTCTCATGTCTCAGTCACCAAATAGCTGGGACTACAGGTGTACACTACCACACCCAGCTAATTTTTGTATTCTTAGTAGAGGCGGGGTTTCACCATGTTGGCCAGGCTGGTCTCAAACTCCTGGCCTTAAGCGATCTGCCAACCTCGACCTTCCAAAGTATTAGGATTACAGGCATGACTACCGCACTCAGCCTCATTTATTAATTTATTCAACAAATATTTACAAGCTCCTTAAAACTCTCATTTGAGCTCAAATCCTTTTAAGTATTTTTGAGTATTTTGCATGTGCAATGGACTGAATATGTCCCCACAAAACTCACAAGTTGAAATCTTAACCCCCTACAATGTAATGGCATTAGGAGGTACGGCCTCTGGGGGGTAATTAGGTCATGAATGTAGAGCCCTCATGAATGGGATTAGTGCCCTTATAAAAGGGATTTCCAAAACCTCTCTCATCCGCTTTCCATCACCTGCAGATACAATGAAAAGATAGTAGTAGTCTTTGACCTGAAAAAGGACTCTCATCAGAACCCAACCATGTGGGCACCCTGACCTTGGACTTCCAACCTCCAGAACAGTAAGAAATAAATTTCTGTTCTTTATAAGGCACCCAGTCTATAATACTTTGTTACAGCAGCCTGAGTAGACTGAGGCAGAAATTGGTGCCAATAATTAGGGGTGCTGCTGTAACAAATACCTAAAAAGGTTATCTTCATTTATTTTTCACATAACCAAGCAAAATATGTGAAACAGTAAACTCTGACTGTTGAAGCTACTTGTTTTCTATTACACTAACATTCAAGGCATCCTGATACAAACGCTTACCAAAAATTGCATTTGAAAAGAAAACAAAGGCTAACTAGAATAGTAGCATGCAAAACAAATTTAAAAAGTTAAAAAACAGAAGTGTATCTTCAGTTCAATAGATCAGTTGCAAAATTATAGAATGATGTAAAACTGGTTTAACAGCAGTTCAAATAATAAAAGAGGTAAGTGTGTTACTAGTAGACTCAAAGTAACCTAACACTAAGACATGGCTGAGAACAATGTATAGCCACTTTAGGTAATATTATTAGAACTAGGGGCTCAAGACTATGGTGGTAAAATCTTATAAAGCTTAGCCCTTCATCACATTTCTGGAATAAATTAGATATATATTGAAAGGGGCACTGAAAAACAGTGCCCCTTTCTAAGGCACTGTTTCAAGGATTATCAAAGGAGGCTACCAGGAGGATGAAAGATGTAAAGATCATGTCATCTGAGGACAGGGCAATGAAATGACAAGTGCACAGTCTGGAAGAGAGCACAGTGGCTATTTTCAAGAGGTTTCCTGGACAAAAGGGGCTGGACTCGGTCTTACCACTTCAGAGAAAGGCACTAAGAGCAGCAGTTGGTTGCTATAGAAGGTAGATTTGGGCTTACAAGAAGCAGTTTCTTAATCATCAGAACAACCTAAAAATCAAATAAGTTATCTCAAGAGAAAGTGAAATTTACTTTCACTGAGATGAAGACTGAGTGACCATCCATCCAGGACATCCTAGAACAGTATTTCCCAGAAAGTAGGTGCACAAGAAATTATTTTAACTGGTACATACATTTATTTTATTCATTACTTATTTATCTTAATATACATTAAAAACAAATAAATGTACATACTAAAGTAGCCATCAACCCCATTGTTTCATGAATATTAGTGTTTTAGGATAAATGAAGCAACAACTTTAGTTGATTAAAAGAAAAACATTAAGTCAATATACTGAATTTAACTTAAGTAGCAATATTATTTTATGATGTTAGTTATCACCCTTGAATTTATATAGGTAATAAAAGGCACCAAAGATTTAAGAAAAGGAAAAAAAAACTTCTAAAAAGAAAATATTTTTTAAAAAAGAAAGAAGGAAAAGAAAAACATTAAATTAATTATAATACAAATGATAAAAGAAAAAAAAATGTCAAAAATCACAAAAACTAGCCTGGGCAACATAGCGAAACTCCATCTCTACAAACACACACACACACACACACACACGCACAAATTGACTGGGCACGGTGGCTCACGCCTATAATCCCAGCACTTTGGGAGGCCAAGGCAGGTGGATCACGTGAGCCCAGGAGTTCAAGACCAGCCTAGCCTACATGGTGAAACCAGTCTCTACTAAAAATACAAAAATTAGCAGAGAATGGTGGCGCACATCTGTAATCCCAGCTACTTGGGTGGCTAAGACACGAGAATGGCTTAAGTCCAGAAGGTGGAGGTTGCAGTAAGCCAAGATTGCACTAGCCTGGGCAACAGAGTGAGGCCCTGACACACATACACACACACACACACACACACAAAATTCACATACGTTCCACAAAAGTATCTGAATTTTGGACATACTGTTCTGTAGAGATTCGTGCACTGATCATCCTGAAACTAAAACTTCTCCTTTACCAAAATTGTCTTAGTACTCAGTAATTCCCTGAAAACATGATAATTTACAACTACATTTATTCAAATAGCTATCACAATTTAAAAAAAATTAAAATTTTTCATTATTTCAGTAACAATCTTAGAAATCTTTTTTTTTCCTTTTTTTTTTAATTTTTTTATTATTATACTTAATGTAGGGTCATTGCATAACTCAGGTTTTACATATGTATACTTGCCATGTTGTACTGCACCATCAACTCGTCATTTACATAGTATAATCCAATGCAATCCCCCCTCCCCATGATAGGGCTTGATTGTCAATAGCTATAGCTATAAAACATCTGGATCCCTCACATAACTAATCTTTACCACAAAAGACTGATATTCCTGCATCTAATAAGCATTTATTGAGGGCCTTCTCGGGCCAGGCACTGTGGTGGACAAAAATTTGAAAGTAGGGTAGCAAGTTGTCATTTGAAGGATGTACTGCTACCTTAAGGAAAATCTTAAAACATTTAAGGTAAAAACACAAAAAGAGGATGTCTTCATTATTATGTTCACTGAAAATATACATGTATGTTAGTATAACTGAAGCCCAAACTATTTTCTATGCTATACATATACACACACAAAATCTAGACACATGAACCAGATTTAGATATAAAATCCCTTCAGTAAGTCCTGCCTCATACTCAGTATTTTATGCTCTTGCTCCAATATACTCTGAAACACCTCGAGAATCTCACTGAAGCCCCAAAGGCAATCTTATGACGTCTATGTGAAAAGTCCACCTACCTCTACCTTAAGGCACCATGTGGCAAGCACATTCTTAGAGCACAAAGAAAGTGATGGGCCTCTCAGGAGGAAATGGTGCCAGAGTACACTGCTGGAGGCGTTTCTTCTGCCTAATGAGAAGACTGACCTTTTCTTTTCTTTCCCAGCTCCTTAGGCCAAAGGTACTTTATGTTTGAATAATCAAATAATAAGTGACATCTAATATGTATACGAAATGCTAAAGTTTAAACTTGTCCCCTGAAGATATTTCTCCATGTGTACATCCCCAAATGGATTTCAACCAAAGTCGAAGAAAGAAAAATAACCAGCTCAGAAAGATTCCCCTCCTACCTCCTGAGTGTGTTCTTTATAGACTTGCAGTGGCCCCGCAGCTTTGGCAGTGTCCCAGAGCTGCAGCGAGCCATCGCCACTACAGGTGATGAGGACGTGTTCATTGTTCTCACTCCAGGTCACATCAAACAAACCATCATTCCAGTCAAAGCTACACTAGGAAAAAACAAAAAAACACAACACTTACATAGGCAGTGACACAACAACAACAACAAATAACAATTATAATTATGGTTTTTTTCTTACAATTTATCACATATTTTAACACGTATATCTCATGTAATCTTCACAACTATGAGAGTTAAGAGAGCAGGTACTTGACAAATATGGCAACAGATTCAGAAAGGTTAAAAAAAACAGTCCAGTGGAACGTAACAGTCCAAAAATGTAATGCTACACAATATACTACTCCATATTTTTTTATGTTTAAGTTTTATAATTTATGAGTGGACACTAAGAGACAGGCTTCAGATTTGTTTTGTTTTTTATTTAAGAGAAAGAGTCTTGTTCTGTCACCCAGGCTGGAGTGTAGTGGCCCAATCCCAGCTCACTGCAGCCCTGAACTGGACTCAAGCAATCCTCCCACCTCAGCCTCCCAAGTAGCTGGGACAACAGGTGTGCACCACGGCATAGCTAATCTTTAAAAAAAATTTTTAGGCCGGGCCCAGTGGCTCACACATATAACACCAGCTCTTTGGGAGACCAAGGCGGGCAGATCACCAGAGGTCAGGAGTTTGAGACTAGCCTGGCCAAAATGGTGAAACCCTGTCTCTACTAAAAAATACAAAAATTAGCTGGGCATGGTGGCGGACACCTATAATCCCAGCTACTCGGGAGGCTGAGGCAGGAGAATCACTTGAACCCGGGAGGCTGAAAGATTGCAATGAGCCAAGATTGCGCCACTGTACTCTAGCCTGGGTGACAGCCAGATTCTGTGCATAAAAAAAAATTTCTTTTAGAGACGGGGTGCCCCTAACATAGTGGGGGACCCTATGCCCATGAGGCTGGTCTTGAACTCCTGGCCTCAAGTGATCCTTCTGCCTCAGACTTGGGAATAGCTGGGACTATGAGTGTGCACCACCACAACCAGCTAAAAATAAGCTTCATCCTATGCAAACGCCAAGGTTCCTTTTATATTGTATATTAAAACATTAACCAAAGAGTCAAAACCTAACTCTATTAAGGCTTTAATAGCAACAGTAAATACCTTTAATAATTTCAGCCCCCTTACCTTCTAAAAAGCCTTAGCCCAGATTCATCTGGATCCAGTATTAGTAGGGTTCCACAGCCTAAAGAGAAAAAAAATCAAGGTCATCCCTTTGAACCTGCCAGGGTAACATCAAAAGTCAAGGAGTTATCAAGTAATTGGTACCTGATTTTAATACCACAAATTTCTCCCCCGAGTTTTTCGGACCTTAAATACCAAACAGTCAGGTGATCAATTTCTCCCTAAAGTTTTTGGGACATGAATACCAAATGTGTTCTCTATTTCTGTTTTTCCATATTGTACTTCAGTTACTAAATATTCAACTTCCCATTGCACCTAAGATTGGAATCCAGACATGGGCCTAACAAAGGGGTGAAATACTTAAGGGCCTACTCTGTAGCCAGACAAGGCACCAGAGACACAAACCTTCCAAGTTGGTGTTATCATCCCTACTGACAGATGAGAAACCTCTGGCTTACAGACCCCAGGGACTGCACTCCTCACCAGTAAATCTAAAATACATCTAACACAGGATTTTAAAGCAAAATATGAATGCGGAGATACCTGGTGGGATTTACCACATAACTGGTGGTAATACACCGCTGAAAACAGTATTAATATGTTACCCGTCAAAGATTATTTTACCAAAGGGCCATTGTATTTTAAAAGTTATATTTACTTTTATAGAGACCAAGGGGGAAAATCTCTTCTATTTAAACATGACTGAATGTTTTTTTAAATACCAATTCCTTTTAAAGAGTTTTTGCATAAGATTTTAAGTAGCATTTACAGGCCAGTCACAGTGGCTCACGCCTGTAATCCTAGCACTTTGGAAGTCCAAGGCAGGAGGATCGCTTGCACCCAGTTCAGAACAAGCCTGGGCAACACAGTGATACCTTCTCTACAAAAATAAAAAATCAAAAATTAGCCAGGTGTGGTGGTACGTGCCTGTGGTCCCAGCTACTGGGGAGGTTGAGACAGGAGGATCATTTGAGCCCAGGAGGTTGAGGCTACAGTGAGCCGTGACTGCACCACTCTACTGAACCTAGGCAACAGAGTGTGACCCTGTCTCTAAAAAGAAAAAGAAAAAAAGGAAACTACTACCATTATAGACTCATGAGTCTTCAATCCAACTGGTGGGCCATGTAAATCTGAATGTGCCAAGCACTAAGAGCTAATAAAGAAAATAAATCAAGTATTTCTCTGAGTTTTAGAAGTAACATTTTTTTCTGCTGTAGGACAAAACAAAAAATACAACAGACCACTGACATTATGAAATGAGTTGTTGCATCTCCCTTCAGTGCCTATAATAGCTAGGACATGAATTAAGGCAAAAGCGAGAGGCCGGGCGCGGTGGCTCAAGCCTGTAATCCCAGCACTTTGGGAGGCCGAGGCGGGCGGTTCACGAGGTCAGGAGATCGAGACCATCCTGGCTAACACAATGAAACCCCGTCTCTACTAAAAATACAAAAAAATTAGCCGGGCGAGGTGGCGGGCGCCTGTAGTCCCAGCTACTCGGGAGGCTGAGGCAGGAGAATGGCGTAAACCCGGGAGGCGGAGCTTGCAGTGAGCCGAGATAGCGCCACTGCACTCCAGCCTGGGCGACAGAGCGAGACTCCGTCTCAAAAAAAAAAAAAAAAAAAAAAAAAGGCAAAAGCGAGAATGAACATGGCATGCCTTTTCATCTAGTCCACGGAGAGGGATGATTAACTTTTTTTTCTTTTTTCTTTTTTTTTTGAGAGACAGTTTTGCTCTTGTTGCCCAGGCTGTAGTGCAAAGACACGATCTCGGCTCACCGCAACCTCCACCTCCTGGGTTCAAACTATTCTCTTGCCTCAGCCTCCCGAGTAGCTGGGATTACACGCATGCGCCACCACGCCTAGCTAATGTTGTATTTTTAGTAGAGGCGGGGTTTCTCCATGTTGGTCAAGCTGGTCTGGAACTCCCGAACTCAGGTGATCCGCCTGCCTCGGCATCCCAAAGTGCTGGGATTACAGACGTGAGCCACCTCACCGCGCCTGGCCTTTTTTAAGACGGTGTCGCAGTCTGTCACCCAGGCTGGAGTGGAGTGATGTGATCTCAGCTCACTGAGCTGGGGCACATCGATGTGATCTCAGTTCACTGTAGCCTCAACATCCCGGGCTCAAGCGGTCCTCCCGCCTCAGCCTCCCGAGCAGCTGTAACTACAGGCTGAGCCAATGCGCCCCGCTGGAGACAATTAACTGTAGTCTGTAACAGCTACTTGCTAAAGTATGCATTCCTCGTGAGACAACTACAGGTGAGAACTGAACTTAATATATTTCATGGTGTCACCAGTTGGACTCCAGGCGTCCATTCAGGAGCATCCTTCTTAGGATGGCCAGCCCGCAGGTCGTGGCTCAGTGCTCGAATGCAGACTGGGAAATCTGGGCCAACTCGCAAGCCCTGGGGCGGTTCTGGCTCAGACCGTCTTTCCCGTACAGCTGTGTGGAGCGGACCGCTCCGAGGTACCGCGCAGGCTACCCCGGCTCTCCGCACGGGGACGTGTGCCTGGGCGTGTGACAGGTGGCAGAGGCAGCCGGTCTCAAAGAACAAGGACACGGGCTACCAGGCTACACCTATATGCACTTACACACAACTGAAGAGGATCGACTCCCGCTTCAGACCAACTCCTCGCGCTCCGCAAAGTAAGAGGAGCCGACCAGCGCCTCTTCTGCCCCCTGTCGCGGACCCGCGGAACCGTCTACGCTCAGAGGGGCTTTCCCTGGAGCGCGAGGAGCTAGAGCCCGGCTGGCCCCCGCCTCCGCCTCCGCCCCCCAGCCCCGGCTGCGCGCCCCCGCCCCGGCTGCGCGGCCCCGCCTCACCCGCGATGCCGTAGTGCTGCGCGGTGGCGCAGGCCAGGCGGCCCGGCAGGTACGGGGAGAACTCGGCGGCGTAGCCGTGGCGTCCCGGCACCCGCAGCGTCCGCGCCGGTCCGCCGCACACCGCACTCATCCCGCCCGCCGCCCCCGGCCCTCGCCGCCCCTGCCGCGGAAGTCGTTCCGAGTCGGAGGCGCACTGGCCCGATTAGAGAGACCAGGAAGACCGGGCGGAAGTGCGGGCCCCGTGCCCTGTATTCGATATTCTGATTGGTCCGCACAGGAAATGGACTCCGACGGAGACCATTTTTGTTTTGGGTGAAACCAAACTGAATTGCGCCTGCTGCAAAGATACAGATCTTTCAGGGGAGTAATCCAGGGTTAGGTATTATTAATAATTACGACAACTTTTGTCGTTGCATCTCAGCCTCTGCTGCGGTGCTGTTTTTTATTAATTTCATTGAGCGTTTGGAAGACTGGCATCAGGAACTTTTCCTGATGATTACAAAGTGAGACAAGTTACAGCCGACTCTGAAACCACGCAGCGCGTCCAAAATTGCGTGCTGCTTGCCCAAGGAAACTGGAAGCAATGATAACTTAAGTCCGTGAAGTCAGTGCGGTCTTTAGGAATAACAGCGTGGGCTGGTGGGCTACTTTCACACTATAACTGGAAAAGACGAGACACCGACTCCAAACCAACTCCCCATACTTGGCAAGTGAGAAAGAGGAGCTGGCCAGTTCTAATGAAGCTAAGAAAAAAAGCAGCACATCGTCATAAACAACTTTTTTAAAAAAGTATTACTACATATGTATATATTGTATGGTAATAAGTGCTCAGATTCTGGTGCTCACTCTATTCATTCATTGCCAGGCATGTACTATGCGGAGAATGACCAGATATAACTTATCTGCCAAACCAAGATACTTTTGGAGTAAAGAGGGTCTAATTATTAAGCCGGGTCAACAGGCACAAACCAAGTCATATGATCACCTTAACCATATACCAAGCACAGTATTAGGCATTTGGGATTCAGAATAATAGGATATGGTCCATAGCCTCAAGAGACTAGAGAAGAAGACTAAAAGAGAAGTCGTGTAATTAGTTAAGTGTAATCAAAATACTGTAGAGGCTAGGAGAAATATAGGTGGGGTATTTTTAAAAGGTGATTGTCAGTGCCAGAGGTATGGGAATTGCAGGAAAGGCTGCAGAAGAGAGATAGTCTTTATGGTGATTGCACACAGATGAGTAGGTTTTCTTTAAGTAGACAAGAAGATGGAGATATTTGTAGGAGCAGGAATAACATGAGCAACCCAGGAGATCTCAACCAGCATGATCCATAGGGGATCGTGGCTGCCAGGACTCAGCCTGGCCAGATGGAAGGGATACAGTGAAAAGAATATTGGGTGGGGAGACTATAGAGTGTTGTACTGGGGCTAGATCATGAAGAATCTTATGTACCATACTAAGAGAATTGGATTTTTACTGTAAACAATGAAAAAGAGTGGAAGTTTTCTAATGTGAGAAATTAAATGACCAAGGTTTTATTTTTAAAAGTCCTGCAACACTAATATGGAGGATGGAGTTTGGAGATGGGGAGGCCAGTCAAAAGACTAGCAGGCTGGGTGCGGTGGCTCACACCTGTAATCCAAGCACGCTAGGAGGCCGAGGCAGGTGGATCACTTGAGGATCCAGACCAGCGTGGCCTCAATTATTTTGGATTTTTATCATATGTAGTCACTGGAATGTATGCTGCATGAGGGCAGAAATTTTTGCTTGTTACATTCGCTGGTGTATCCCAAGGACCTGGTATTTAAGCATTCGGGAAATGTTGAGTGAATCCAGCCTAATACAGTGCCTAAATGATCACTGTTTTTTGTAATACTATGAAAAGTAACCTGGAAACATTCTGGAGTTTATTGAAATGCTAAATAGGCGTTAATAAAATATCAAACTAAGCAAACATGAAGCAGCTGGGACCTTGGCAAAGCGTTGTATGTGGAGAGTTATCCAATCTAAGCTAAAAGTAGTGTGGTCTCTCTGGGAGGGACACAGGCTGGTTCCAGCTGGGGTAAAGGGGTAAACTATTTACAGTGACCTTGGACATACACACACACACAAACTGAGCTGTTATCTGCTCCTTACCTAACCATACATGATTATAGCATTGTAAAATATTTCATCCCACCTGTGAAGCTTTCTAAAATACAAACAACTAAACATGTAAAAAATAAACCATACTGTTAAACTAGATTTTGAGCATCTTGAAGTAATGTCCAAGTGTAATTTGTTTGTGTCTCCAGTACCTCATGTGCTGGAGGTACATGTTTGACAACTTGAGCTGAACTGGAAAATTAAGGAAAAGGAACATGAAATGCTCCTTAGATTCTCCTTGTTCCCTGCCCTTGCTCCACACCCCTTCCTCCACCTATACTTTACCAAGTGGAGTCCAAGTTTGCTAGGGATATGGATAGAATTGGAGTTAACAATTGCCTAGAAGGGCCAGGCATTGTGGCTTATGCCTGTAATCCCAACACTTTGGGAGGCCGAGGCGGGCAGAACACTTGAGGTATGGAGTTTGAGACCAGCCTGGCCAACATGGTGAAACCCTGTCTCTACTAAAAATACAAAAATTAGCCAGGCATGGTGGTGGGCACCTGTAATCCCAGCTACTCTGGAGGAGGCTGAGGCAGGAGAATCACTTGAACCCTAGAGGCAGAGGTTGCCGTGAACTGAGATCACACCATTGCACTTCAGCCTGGGCGTCAGAGTGAGACTCCATCTCAAAAAACAAAACAAAAACAAAAACACACACTAAAAAACAACTCTCTTTGTTGTCTACCACCTGTTTTTGTCATCGTTTAGGAGTACTTGGTATTTCCCAACTGAGACAGAAACCGTTTTTTAATAAACATTCACTACACCTCAGAGTTGTGTAATTTCTAAACTTGTCCAACTCTGTGGAAGACTTTCTAACTCTGTGGAAGGCCTAATAGTGTAGGCGGACATGGCTCGATGTCAGGTTTTTATAAGGATCTACAATTATATTTAGATTGTTTTGTTTTCTAACTGCTATGGTGACCTCATACTCTAACTGCAAATATTTACCAACCCACATCATTTTTAAAGCTAGTTTAGCTTTCCCATGGAGAGAGACCGGAAGTAAAATAATTGAAATACGTGGTCTTTCCACCCAGGTGAATCATTATCCTAGGTAAATCGGCAACTTGTTATGTTTAAGGCTGCGTGTGGTAGTTATGTGAAATAATTCCAAGAAAGGATGGATAATTTCATTGTTCCTTTTAGCTCTGCACAGCATTGTGCTGGGTAACTAGTAAGCCTTTAATCAACGTTTGCCAGAGGGTTAATGTAATCATCATCCAAGAACTTTAAGCACTGTCTTCAAATATATGATGGGTACTTGGACTGATGCACTTTAGAGACCACTTAAAGCTCTGAGAGGCTACAATTATGGGCTAATTGTCTACATTGCTCATTTTATATCATTCATCACTTATTATTTTAGTTATACTTTCTTGTTAAAAATTTTAGAATCTGTGGTAATGTAAAATGGTGCAGCTGATATGGAAGATAGGATAGCAATTGCTTAAAAAATTAAACATAGAATTACCATATAATCTTGCAATTCCACTCTTGGGTATATATCTAAAAGAAACGCAGGAATTCAAACAGATATTTGTACACTCCTGTTTGCAGCAGTATTACTCATAATAGCCAAAAGGTGAAAGCAACCCAAGTGTCCACTGGCAGATGCTATGGTCTGAAAGTTTCTGTCCCCCCAAAATTCATATGTTGAAATTTAATCACCAATGTGATGTCTTAAGACGTGGGGCATTTGAGAAGCAATTAGGTCATGCATGAGATGATTGCCTTTGTAAAAGAGGCTGCAGAGAGAGACCTCTTACCCCTTCCACCACGTGAGGACACAGCAGGAAGTGAACATCTATGAACCAGAAAGTAGGACCTCACCAGACATCAAACCTGCTGCTGATGGCTTGATTATGGACTTTCCAGCCTCTAAAACAGTGATAAATATATTTCTGTTGTTTATAAGGTACCAAGTTTATGACAGCTTGTTATAGAAGCCTGAACCAACTAAGACAATAAGTGAATACATAAAGAGAATGTAGCATTTGCATACGATGGAATATTATTCTTCCCTAAAGAGGAGGGATATTCTTACATGGATGAACTTTGAAGACATTATGCTAAGTGAAATAAACCAGGCACAAGAGGACAAATACCATATGATTCCATTTATATGAGGTACATAGAGTAGTCAAATTGATACAGACAAAATAGAATGGTGGTTACCAGGGGCAAGGGGAAGCGGGGAATGGAGAGTTATTGGGTGATAGACATGGAGTTTCAGTTTAGGAAGACGAAGCTCTGGAAATAGATGGCGGTGATTGTATAACAATGTGCGTGTACTCAACATCACTGAAGTGTCTGCTTAAAAATGGTTAAAATGGTAAATTGTATGGTATGTATATTTTACTACAATCAAATTGGAATCTTGAGTATTGGTTTAGGACATACATTTACTGCACTTCTATGTAAAAGGAGAGAAAAATATATGAGTGATTGGTATAATCTGATCATAGTAGAAAATGCATTTAGTCTTTCCCTCTTTTTCTGGAAAGACAGCAATTAAGAGCATGGTGTTTAGAGTCAGAGACCTGGGATTGAACCCAGGCCTTATGCTTTTTAGCTTGTGTGATGGAAAGCGTGTAACATCTATTTATCTACTTTCAGCTCTTGGATAGGATTAATATTTTAGGTGATGCTGCACATGTACTGACAGCTCCTTGACTCCCCACATGGCTGGATAGACAGGTGCCTCTTCTGCAGGCTCAACTCAACAAAACAACATGAGGTGTGATATATTGGCTCTTTCAAATCCCTATCCTGATAACATCTCCCTCAAAGGGTTGTTGTAAGGATTAAATGGGGCAGGTATCACGTGTAACTGTAAACCCTTAATTGGCAGAGGCTATTATTTGAGTTGTGTGCATTCTAACTTGGATCAAGTATTAAAGTTACTTCTTCATGGCAGGAAATTAAACCGTCTAGTTCCCATTTCACTCTTTTTTTTTTTGAGATGGAGTCTCACTCTGTCACCCAGGCTGGATTGCAGTGGCATGATCTTGGCTCACTGCAACCTCCACCCCACAAGTTCAAGTGATTCTCCTGCCTCAGCCTCCCGAGTAGCTGAGATCACAGGCATGTGCCACCATGCCCAGCTAATTTTTGTATTTTTAGTAGAGATGGAGTTTCACCATGTTGGCCAAGCTGGTCTCAAACTCCTGACCTCAAACAATCTGCCTGCCTTGATCTCCTAAAGTTCTGGGATTACAGATGTGAGCCACTGTGCCTGGCCCCATTTCACTCTTGATTCTCTCTCTTAACCTCTTTTACTATCACCAAGAAATAATGATTTCTCAATGCTGTTAGTACTTTCCTAATGTTTTGGCTCATATACTTCCTAAAAGAATTGATAATCATGATGAAGCACATCTATGTTTTAAGTTGCCCTCTAAAATGTTTTCTC